TTCTTCAGGAAATACCTTCGGAAAGCCCCGCTGGGGTCTCCAGGGCAACCGGCGCCTGTGGCTCCGCGCCCCCCGCCCGCATTGTCCCCGCGCCGCTTTGTTGGCCCCTTTATTGCCATCGGCACCATCGCCATGGCCAACACAGCCTGTGGTGTTCTGTGCTTGCAGGGTGCACCCCGGGCTCCCCGTGGTGCCTGCCCAGCCTGGGGGGCACGGCCAGCACAGAGAGAGGGGGGCACAGTGAGTGCATGCAGCTCCTGTTGGTGGGGCTGCCCCGTGTCCCTGTCCCTGCTCTCCCTGTCCCTGTCCCTGCTCTCCCCATCCCTGCTCTCCCTGTCCCTGTCCCTGCTGTCCCTGTCCCTGCTGTCCCTGTCCCTGTTGTCCCCATCCCCGTCCCGGCTCTCCCCGTCCCTGCTCTCCCTGTCCCTGATGTCCCTGTCCCTGCTGTCCCCATCCCTACTCTCCCTGTCCCTGCTCTCCCTGTCCCTGATGTCCCTGTCCCTGCTGTCTCCATTCCTACTCTCCCTGTCCCTGCTCTCCCTGTCCCTGCTCTCCCTGTCCCTGCTCTCCCTGTCCCTGCTGTCCCCATCCCCGTCCCTGCTCTCCCTGTCCCTGCTGTTCCCTGTCCCTGCTGTCCCCATCCCTGTCCTTACTCTCCCTGTCTCTGCTGTCCCCGTCCCTGCTCTCCCCGTCCCTGCTCTCCCCGTCCCTGTCGTCCCCATCCCTGCTCTCCCTGTCCCTGCTGTCCCCATCCCTACTCTCCCTGTCCCTGCTCTCCCTGTCCCTGCTCTCCCTGTCCCTGCTCTCCCTGTCCCTGCTGTCCCCGTCCCTGCTCTCCCTGTCCATGCTGTTCCCTGTCCCTGCTCTCTCTGTCCCTGCTGTCCCCATCCCTACTCTCCCTGTCCCTGCTGTCCCCATCCCTGTCCCTGCTCTCCCTGTCCCTGCTGTCCCCATCCCTGCTCTCCCTGTCCCTGCTCTCCCTGTCCCTGCTGTCCCTGGGTGCTGGCCCCAGGGGAACTGCTGACAGTTCTATGCACTTGGTGACACCCACCCTGCATCTGGCCCATATTCTTGTGCTCAGCTCCGCTCCCAGTTCCATTTCAAAGCTGGAATAAAGCAATAAACCTGTGCCAGCTGCCCCACCATGGCACTGCACGGCTTCTGGGGGTGCTCACGGAGGCACCAGGGGCTGGAGCTGTCCCTTGCCTCAGTGGGGACCTTGGGGTGGACAAGGCGTGTGGGACTGGTGTTCCCATGCTCTGCTCACTGTCACCTTTGTCACCCACATCTCCCAGCTGAGCTGAGGACTCCCCCTAAGCGGCCTTTGTGCAGTGCTGGGAGCGCCCAGAGCCTCAGGGATGAGAGCCAGGGGTTGGTGTGGCTGCTGACCCTTGGAGAGGTGGCCCCCGTGGGCTGTGCCCATGTGGGGCTGTGCCATGGTGCTGTGGTTTGAGGTGCAGAAAGCAGAGGGGGGTGTGAGACAGGGATGTATCACGCTGATGAGACCAGCAATCATTAACCAAAGCGGAGGCCACGCCAGTGCCTCGCTCACACCAGCAGTGCCCCCGCTGCCAGCCCGGTGCCATCTGTGCCACGGCAGCAGCCACAGTGCTGCTCCATCCTTCTGAGGGGCTGAGCAAACCTGGCCATGCTCCTTAGCCTGTGGATTCCTGCTCAGGCCAGTCCCACCAGGCTGCATTTTCCACCTCGCCCCAAGTGCCAGCAGAGTGCTGTGGGTGACGGAAGGGCAGTGCCCACCGGGCCCTCTGCCTCTCCATCCATCACCTCAGCACCCCCATGCCCCAGTCGTGCTGCTGATGCAAACCAGCCCTGGCTCATGGGGCTGGAAGCTTTGAGAGGGGATCTGGCCCCACGCCCAAGGGTCTGAAGGAGCCCTGGCACGTGCATAGCATACCCAGGGACCTGTGGCCATTGGGAAGGGACCCTCCTGAACCTGGAATGCTGCTTCCTCAAGCCCTGGCATTGGGCTGGGGTCTCCCAAAACTTCCCCTCCTCCAAAGACCTTTTCCATCCCCAGGATACCTCTTCACATTGCCCAGGTGCAGCTGTGGGATGCTGGTGGATGTCGGAATCTGTGGGTATTGGTGATTCCGAGATTGCAGAAAGTCTCTGTCTTTCTGCCCCGCTGCCAAAGCAGAAGCCATAATTTGTCTGTGTTGTTTCAAGGTTGTTTATTCTGTTTATCTCTAACATGTTCTGCTGCCCTGCCGCAGCTCTGTCCTGCAGGGCAGCGTGTGGGGCTCTGCCCTCAGTGGGATGTTACAAACATTAAATACCACAAACTACCTGTGCTGGATTTACAATAACGTGCCAATATCTGTCACCTACGTTGGACAGTGTGTTCCCAGCCTGAACCAACAGAAAAATGCCAACACCGCAGTGAAACATGGAGGGTGTGAAGAAGGAGAAAAGGACAAGACACACCCAATTCCTCCATCTTGTCCCCTCTGAACCCCTAATCTAGAATCCTAAAATTTTACTTTTGCACCCGTGTCACACTTAATTATTACTCTTATCAAACACTCAGAGCTTGTAATTCATCCTGTAAGATTGAAAACTCCTCTCCATGGACAGAGATCACAGCCAGTGTCTGTGGGGGCTCTGTCCAGGGGGGTTCCTGACCCCTGCCAGGGTCCCAGACCTGCCAGGGCAGCCAGAGGGAAGCGCTGGATTCCCACAGTGGAGCTCGAGGCTGGGCTTGAGCTCTGCCCCAGTTTCCCTGCAGGTCTGTTCAGTTCCATCGGGAAGTTTGCTGATGTGTGGGAGGGGGCAGAGCTGGGAGCCAGAGAAGAGCAGATGTGGCTTTTGGGTTTTCATGGCTGTTTGTTGCCTGCTGGCCTTGCTCTGTGTGAGGAGGATGGGCAGGATGGGCAGGAGGATGTGGTGTTACCCAACCCCGGGGTTCAGAGGGACAGGCTGGGATGTCACTGCTGCTTTGTGAGCCTTCGGAGGAGCCTCTGACTAACCACCTGGAACACAAATCAGAGCTGGGAGAAGTGCCTGTCCTGTGGGAGAAAATCGCGGGGAAACAGGATTGCAAAGCAAGACCCTTCCCCACCACCAAAGAGGCTCCCATGAAAATGTTTTGTAACTTCTCACGGATGAACTGGAGCCCTGGCGTTGGTATTACAGCAATTGAGGAAAGGGAATGCAGCCCCATCCCAATGTTCTCCTTCAAGTGCTGAGCAAAAGAAAGAGGAGAAATTCTGGAGCTGCTCATGAATGTTTTTCCCATGAAGATTCTCATCAGTCCAAGGCAAAGAGAAGTGGCCAGAAAGTGAAGTGCAGGTCACGGTGCGGTGAATCAGAGTTCTGGAGAGCCGAGGTTTCATTTTTGGCCGTCCAGAGTGGCTGTTGGGAGCAGGGAGGAGCGAGGCCTCGCTGCTGGTCCTGGCCCTGTGCTGCCTGCAGGCACTGGCCCAGGGCGAGCTGCTCTGTGGCTGCTCGGGGCACATGTGCAGAGCAAGGAGCAGAGGTTGTTCTTGTCTGGCTCCTTGGGCACTCAAAAGTCCTGGAGCTGCAGACCAGCTGAAGTTTGAACATCTCCTGGTTGGTTCTGCTGCTTTTATTGGGATTTTCCAGCCCCTGAGAGGAGCATCTGCAGCAGTGCCCTGTGCCCCTTCATGCTGCTCCCACGGCATCCCGATGGAATCCAGCTGGCCAAGAACAACCCAACACAACCAGGGAGGAGGCAGAGGTTAAGAGGTGCCTGAAGATCTGGGCTCTGGAGCTGTGCCCACCACCCTGTGGAGCTCAGCCTAGGATGATGATCACACTGCATTCACCCACATCATCACAGGGAGCCTCTGCAGAGCTGTAGCAGCCTGGAATTCCTTGGGCTGTGGAATTTGAAGAGGTGATTTGAAACCCAGCATCTTCCCCAAGCCTGGGACCAGGAGAGCTGCTCATGCACCACCCACCGTGGAGGGCAGGACTTGAGGACAGAGCCCTGGGCATTTCAGGGCTGGGAGAGATGAGCTCGTGTCACAGCAGGATGGAGAGAAAGGATCTTTGTGCTGCTCACACAAGTGTCCCCTTGGGGAGCTCAGCTCCCCTGCCTGGGAATGCTGCGGATGGGAACGCCGTCCCCTGGGCTGACCTGTCCCCCTGGCTGCCTGCCTGCTGTCCTGCCCTTTCACCCTGCAGTGCCCTGCTCTAACCAGGGCGGGTCCTGGTGCCATGGGGACCCTGGCCTGCTTTGCTGGCTGCCCGCTTGTGGTGGTGGGGATCCTGGGACCCTGCGAGGTGGCAGAGCCGTGCAGGGATTTGGGATGCTTCTGGGCAAGGCTGGATCCTACCATGCAGCCTTGTCACATTGCCTGTTTCTCCCTGTTGGGAAGCCCCTGCCCTGTCACGCTCCAGGGCGAGGCCTTGGGAGCTGCCCGGGCACTGAGCAGGTCCTGCTGCAGAGGGAAGCACTTGGTGCTGCTTGGGGTGCTCGCAGCCTCTGCTCTGCCTCTCTGCTCTGCTGCTGCCCTGGGCTCTGTCCCCTGAGTGCTGCGGTCCCTGGTGCCACAGCAGGAAAATCCCTGCAGTGAAATATCCCAGCAGTGGGAATATCCCAGCAGTGAAATATCCCAGCAGTGGGAATATCCCAGCAGTGGGAATATCCCAGCAGTGGGAATACCCCAGTAGTGGGAATATCCCAGCAGTGGGAATATCCCAGCAGTGAGAATAACCCAGCAGTGGGAGCACCCCAGCAGTGGGAATATCCCAGCAGTGCATGTTGCCTCATTAACCAGGCCGCAGCAGCAGCAGCAGCAGCATGGTTTTTCTTTGGTCTCTATTCCTTCTCTCCTTTTTTTTTCTCTTCTCCTCTCCCCTAACTCCTCCAGCTGTGCCCAAAGCAAAAATCGAAGTGGAGTCGCACTCGGCCCACCCCGGTGAGCTGCTCCAGCTGCGCTGCCGGCTGCGGGACGACGTGCAGAGCATCAACTGGGTGCACGATGGGGTCCAGCTGGCTGAGAACAACCGCACACGCATCACCGGGGAGGAGGTAGAGGTCAGGGACGTGGTGCCCGAGGACTCGGGGCTCTATGCCTGCATGACCAACAGCCCCTCGGGGAGCAAGACCACCTACTTCTCCGTGAATGTCTCAGGTTCGTAGCGGCCCCAGGGAGGGGGCAGCCACGGGACGGGCTGTGAAGCGAGGAGAGGCTGCCTCTGTGCATCCCTGCACACCCCTGCACACCTCTGTGCATCCCTGCACAATTCTGTAAATCCCTGCACACCTCTGTGCATCCTGCACACCTGTGTGCATCCCTGCACAACTCTGCACACCTCTGTGCATCCCTGCACACCCCTGCACACCCCTGTGCATCCCTGCACACCCCTGTGCATCCCATCACAACTCTGTAAATCCCTGCACAACTCTGTGCATCCCTGCACACCTCTGTAAATCCCTGCACACCCCTGTGCATCCCTGCACAACTCTGTAAATCCCTGCACATCCCTGTGCATCCCTGCACACTCCTGCACACCTCTGTGCATCCCTGCACACCTCTGTGCACCTCTGTACTCCTCTGCACAACTCTGTAAATCCCTGCACTCCCCTGTGCATCCCTGCACACTCCTGCACACCTCTGTGCATCCCTGCACACCTCTGTACACCTCTGTATACCTCTGCACACCCATGCACACCTCTGTGCATCCCTGCACACCCCTGTGCATCCATGTGCACCTCTGTACTCCCCTGCACACCTCTGTGCATCCCTGCACATCCCTGCACACCTCTGTGCACCCTGCACACCTCTTTGCATCTCTGCACACCTCTGTACTCTCCTGCACACCCCTGTGCATCCCTGCACAACTCTGTAAATCCCTGCACACCTCTGTGCACCTCTGTACTCCCCTTCACACCTCTGTGCATCCCTGCACACCCGTGCACACCTCTGTGCATCCCTGTACACCTCTGTGCACCTCTGTACTCCCCTTCACACCTCTGTGCATCCCTGCACACCCGTGCACACCTCTGTGCATCCCTGTACACCTCTGTATACCTCTGCGCACCTCTGTGCATCCCTGTGCACCTCTGTGCACCTCTGTACTCCCCTTCACACCTCTGTGCATCTCTGCACACCTCTGCCCACCCATGCACATTCACTGGCCACGCGTGGTGAGTTCGGGGCCGCCCTGCACGTTGCAGGTGCCCAGAAGAGTTTCCAGGTGGTGCCGTGGCCTCCTGGCCACTGCAGCACAGGGAGAAGCTGCCAGAAATCATCTCACGTTTATCTGAGGGGGCAGGGGGCTGCAGGGCTGCCCCAGAGGGGCACATGCAGGGTGGGAGCAGTGTTCTGCAGTGGTGCTGATGGAGTGTGAGGCTGGAGAGGGGGGATCGCTCGAGCTGGGGACATGTCTATGCTCGGCCTGGGTCTCAGCTGCCACCCCAGGGGTGTTGGTGATGCTGGACGTGAGGTAAGGAGCTCCGAGGTTACCTCTGACAGCAAATCTCTTCAGGATATCCATGGCTGCAGGCACTGGATGGTGGGCTCTGCCACCCTGGCTGTGCTGGGGGTCATGTGGAGTGTTTAACTGGATCCCCACGGCCCTGCTGGGCACCAGCACCGCCCTGCTCTGCCACCTCACCGGGCACAGCCCCACCACCCACCCACTGAGCTCTGGCCCCCCCAGCACAAAGGTCCTTCACACACAGCTACTCATCAGGGCTGTTGCTTCTGTTACAGATGCTCTCCCCTCTGCAGAGGATGATGATGATGAAGATGATTCCTCGTCAGAGGAGAAGGAGGCAGATAACACCAAGCCGAACCGTACGTGGGGCTGGGTTTGCCCTTGGTGCCGCCCTGTGGCCAGGCAAGGGGAGACTGGGCACACAGGAGCATCACCCAGGGATGGGGCAAGCAGCCCAGGGCACGCAGCAGTGGGGAGAGCAGGGCTGGGTGCAGTGGGAGCACTGGGTTGGAGCAGGGGGCTGTGCCAGCACAGCCACATTGGGGTCACTGCTGCTGCAGCTGAGCATCCACCCCACGGGGAAAGGGCTGCTGTGGCTCGTGGGTAGTGCCCTGTGTCCCAGGGCTCCCCTCCCTGATGCTGGCACCTCTCCTGGTTCCTGTCTCAGCCCTGCCCTGGGCATCTTTGGGTTACTGCAGGAGCAGGAGGCTGCTGGGTTTGGCCGTGCTGAGCCCTCCCTCTGCTCCCCAGAGGCCATCGCTCCCTACTGGACCTATCCTGAGAAGATGGAGAAGAAGCTCCACGCTGTCCCTGCTGCCAAAACAGTGAAATTCAAATGTCCATCGAGTGGGACACCCAACCCCACCCTGCGCTGGCTGAAGAACGGCAAAGAGTTCAAACCTGACCACCGCATCGGGGGCTACAAGGTACAGGGGGAGCAAAGGGGAGCAGCCCCCGGGGGCTACAAGGTACAGGGGGAGCACAGGGCAGCAGCCCCTGGGGGCTACAAGGTACAGGGGGGCGCGGGGGAGCAGCTCCTGGGGGTACAAGGTATGGGGGGGCACAGGGGAGCAGCCCCCAGGGGCTACAAGGTACAGGTGGGGCACGGGGGAGCAGCTCCTGGGGGTACAAGGTACAGGGGGGCATGGGGAGCAGCCCCTGGGGGATACAAGGTACAGAGGGGCACAGGGGAGCAGCTCCTGGGGGCTACAAGGTACAGGTGGGGGCACAGGGGAGCAGCCCCTGGGGGCTGCAAGGTACAGGGGGGCACAGGGGAGCAGCCCCTGGGGGCAAGGCAGCACTGTCCCCTTTGCCATCTCTGTTTTTGGGAGCAGGGCTGCAGAGCCCTCAGTGTTTCCAGGCCAGGAGCCCTGAACCAGCCCAGCCAGGGGGCTGTGGGGCCACCATCACCCCTGAGTGACATGCCACAGGTCAGAAGCAGCTCCAGCCTGGCCCTGCATGCCAGGGCTCCTGCCAGGAGCTGGGACAGCAGCAGGAATGCAGCCACATCACTCTGCAGTGTGTCCTGGAGGGACACAGGCTCAGCCCAGGACATGGGCTCTGGGTGGGGAGGAGAGGCTGCCAGCTGGTGACAGCACAGTGCCCCAGCTAGCCCACGGGGCTGGAATGTAGGACTGTGCAAATAACCAGTTTCCAGCTGGGCTTAAGGAGGGTTTGACATGAGCAGCCACAGCTGGAGCTGGCAGTGACAGGGCTGGCTTTTGGAGAACCTCCTGGTGCCCCGTGGCCAGAGGGGCCTGGGCAGTGCTCGTGCCAGCAGAACCACTGGGACTTTCCCAGAGGAGATGCACGGGGCCAGCAGCACCCAGAGTGGTGCAGGACAGCAGGCTGCAGCTGCCCGCTGGCCGTGGGGAGCAGTGGGGTCTGAACCCCTGGGCCAGCCAGGGAAGCCTCTTGCAGGAGGAACAATGCTGGTCTGTTCCCTGCACTCACGGAGGACTTGTGTCCCCACACCAGGGGAGCCCATCGTGCTCAGCCAACAACATCTGCTGCTCAGCACAGCTGCCTGCATGACTCCTGTCCCTCCTGGGACAGCTGGGAGCAATTACAGCTCCCAGGGAAGGAGAAAGGTGGCCTCAAAGGGAGATTTATGTCCTGCCCATGCCAGGGGTTGAACCAGCTCTGACATGAGCAGGGCCTGGGGCTTGTGTGTGCTGCACATAACTGGCTCTGTCCTCTCCGTGCCCCCAGGTCCGCCAGGCAACCTGGAGCATCATCATGGACTCGGTGGTGCCATCTGATAAGGGCAACTACACCTGCATTGTGGAGAACAAGTACGGCAGCATCAACCACACCTACCAGCTGGATGTCGTGGGTGAGAAGTCGGGGCTGGGGGCTCCCCCTGCACCCTCCTCTCCCTCAGCCTTCCCAGGCAGCAGTGGGTGCTGTGACCTGTAGGGTGGGTGGGTTGTGCTCCCAGGGAAGGGGCTTCCCCACCATCCCCGGGCAGCCTCCCATCCCACCAGAGGTTCACCCCAGCCTGTTGTGGTGAAAATAATTTCATAGACCGGACAGAAACTTTTTCTAATCACCTTATTAGCCACAATTCCCAGCTGGGAAGGCTGGTCTGAGCAGTTCCACATGTGGAGCTGCTCTAAATGCCAGTAAATGAACCATTAAAAATGTGATTTAATTTGATTACACTGAGCAAACTGAAGGGAACAGTCAGCGAGGTGAACAAAGGGGTTTGTTAATGCTGACTCACCACAGTGGCAGCCCCTTTGTTAATGGCCAGGGCCCTCCATAGGTTTGTTTGACCTCTGACCCTGCCCAAAAGGTGCCGATGTCCCTGTCCCCCCACACTGGGGTTTCACCTGTCCCCCATCCTGGATGCTGTCACCCCAGTGCAGGCAGGCTCCTGGGCAAGGGGACACTAATGCTGTGTTGGGTGCATTGGTGCCCACCTCAGCCAGGGGTGCTGGGCATGGAGGGCTGCGGGGTGCACCCGGGATGGGCAGCAGGCGCCCCAAACCCCGTTGTGAGGCGCCCCAAACCCCGTTGTGAGGCGCCCCAAACCATCTCCTGGTCCCGCAGAGCGCTCCCCGCACCGGCCCATCCTGCAGGCAGGGCTGCCTGCCAACAAGACAGTGGCCCTGGGCAGCAACGTGGAGTTTGTCTGCAAGGTCTACAGCGACCCTCAGCCCCACATCCAGTGGCTGAAGCACATTGAGGTGAACGGCAGCAAGATCGGCCCCGACAACCTGCCCTACGTGCAGATCCTGAAGGTAAAGCCACACGCTGGGTGTTGCCAGCCACGGCCCAGCTTCCCTGTGCCTGGGGCAGGAGCAGGGCACAGGGATGGGCCAGAAGAGTCACCTGGGGCTGGGGACCACTGGCCCCGGGGCAGCTGGAGCCCAGAGCCACCACCAGCCTGCTGGGCAGGGAGCAGGGAGGGCTGTGTGTGCCAGCCCCGTGCTGCCTTTGGAGCCCTGAGGGCACACAGCACAGGCTGGGTGGGCTGTCCCGGGCAGCGAGCATAGCTGGAGCTGGGAGCTGAGCCCTGGATGGTCCCTCTGCACCCCAGCAGTGCCACTCAGTGGGCACGCTGGCCCAGCTGTGGCAGGAGGTCCAACTGGGTGGCCTTTAAAGATCCCTTCTAAGCCATTCTGTGATTCCGTGCAGCCATCCCAGCCGTGCTCCTGACCACTGGGAAGCGGGGGGAGCAGGGTTACAGCCCCATTCCTGCCTGCTCCTTCCTCCTGTGCCCCTGTGTGCAGCCCGATGCCAGCCTCGGGCGCTCGGTTCCTGAGCACATCCGTGTGACTCCATGTTGTTGGTCTGTTCCAGCACTCGGGGATTAATAGCTCTGATGCGGAGGTGCTGACCCTGTATAATGTGACAGAGGCGGAGAGCGGGGAGTATGTTTGTAAGGTTTCC